GGGGGGTGTACGTTATGGGGTAGGAGATGGCATAACCATGCACCACGGACATGGTATAAATCTGAGGAGAGAGGAGTTACAGACAGCCAATAATGTTGAAGTAGCAGACAAGCAGAGATCCCGCTTTCTTCCCGAAACCCTGGGATACACAGCCTGCAAAAGCAGCACCTCCTAAGTACATGGCAAGTCAGAGAAAGGTGGTCTGACCATTAACAGGGAAATGAGGGCATTTAAAACAGCTTGAAGAGCAATGAGAAATAATATTTATGTCTGAAAATATTAGCACGTAGAAAATAAAAGGGAACTTTTTTATTATCTCCTCATCTTTCCATAACAGATTTTCAAAATGAACAAAATGTACCCATAGCGTCATTGTTATTAAAAGCTTTGGCTAGAATATGGAGCAAGAATCTTATCTGTGTTTGCTTTGACACTTCACAAAGCTCTTCTGCTACAAAGTTAAGTATACATGAATGTCTGCCATGGCCAAAACAATAAGCACAGTTCATGGCTTTGGCTTGTCTTTGTAAAGCAGTGGCACGCAATATTTTAATAATAATTTAAAATATTTAAAATATCATTTTAATATTATAATGTTTTAATGCGGTTTTAATGAAAAATTTGAACAAGCTAGGTATTACAAAAGGTCGTACCACTGAACAGCTCTTACACTATCATTAAGTCATTTAAAATGTCACACCCCCAAGCACAGTTCACAGACACTAGAGACTACTCTAAGCTTGGTTCTGGGGGGTGGAGTGGAGGGAATGGGGGGGGAGCTGCCTCTCCATTCATTTAGGTAGAAGAGATTGAGCAGAACATTAACAGGCACAAGCAGCTAGGTATACTGCAGCCCTCTGAAAAGGAGCAAGAGGCTGATGAACTGGGAAGAAAAAAAAACCTTAGGGATCCTGAGCTGCTTATAAATAAGATTAAAGATGCTTAGATAAGGGGTTAAAGCCCATCATGTAAACCAACAAGGTATCATCTAATTGCCCATCTATCAAGTAGCTCTTACAAGAAAGGGAAGTCCTCCCTTCCTCCTCTTTTTCCCATTTGTCCTCATGATCCATGCTGCTTCTTCAGCTGCCTAAGCCAATTCACTCTAGGGTTATAGGAACATCACTGACAGCAGAAAGGAACAGAGCACGTGTCCAGAGCTGAGCCACACCACCACTCCTTTTTAGCTAAATTACATTGGCTAAGACATGCCATCAAACCACACTCAGAACATTAGTTTTGGTTGTGTGTTTTTCTAAAAAACCCCCATTCAGTTAGCATGTTAACAGATACACAGCTTACTGTTATCATAACAACAGAATTAATCATACTTATGCAGCTATGATTGTGTAATTGTCATTCACCAGCAATTGAGATCAACAAAACCTTATGTATTACCATATTCTTATACAAGCTTGGACACATTATGTTTTGTCTTTACTATCTCACATTCATTGCTCAATATACAACTTAAGTGGTATTGTCTTTTGAAATTGTTACTGTAAAAAACCCAAACATTAATACTTACAGTGCCAGGCCTTGTGAAGTCAATACTATGTGCTACACTTTGTCTCATCTGATTGCTAAACAAGCGAACACAAACACTTTGAAGATACTCTGGTGTGATCTAAAAATTAGAAAACATAAAGAGAGAACAGGATTATATAAAACTTATACTTTCTACCAGACAAGTGGTTTTATACTGAAGACTGATTTTTTTTTCAAGAGGGCGAGAAATCACACACCTGAGACTCATCAACGCAAGCACAAGATATATACTGCAACTACAGTTCTGTTCAGAAATTAAGAAAACTGCAAACTCTCTTCATCTGGGAACAGTTATGCTATTCCCAAGACTAATGCTAAACACTTTCAGAGAGTCTAGAAAAATACCCAGAATGTCACACCTGTGTCTGCACACACCTTTTCCTCAATCAAAAGGCAAGCTGTCCGATAGTAAGTATGAAGCACTTTTGTGATTAGACTTAGAGAATGATATGCTGATATGTTGTTTAGCTAAAAAGCAGAACTTACACAACTGTCTTGTACAGTAGAGAGAATAAACACGAATTACACAGTACAGCACTTTGTGTTTTAATGCAGAACATCTCAGTGGGTTTAGGTTTTTTGTTTTGGGAAATCTATACCACAATAGAACTGGTTAATTTCAGAGAGATTACAGTGAGCGGACTGTGATTATAGAAATGCAAATGGCGACACTTCTGATATTCTCAGACCTATAGTGAGACAAGAAAACCGTTCAAATTCAGAATGCTGTAACGCCAACATGATTTTATTCAGTACTCAATTCCACTTCGGATTCAGAAATGACAGAAACCAAGATTCATATTGAAAGAGCACCCTCAGCTGGACACACTTGGGAAGGATCAAATGACTGCCCAGCACGAGGCTTACAAAGGAAATTAAACCAGCATCCACAACAAAAGATAACCAGGTCCTCTACCACAGGAGGTAAGAGAATATCACCTTGGAGAGCACTGAAGTGTGAAATGGGAGGCAGCAAAGGAATTAGTATGTGTTCCTTATTGTTATCAATGCTAATGTGAGCAGATACCTGTCCTAATCTGCTGTAAAGCAAAATCCACACCTACAGGCAAATTCTTCCCTGCAGTAAAGAAATGAGCAGACAGTGATCCCAGACGCAGAGTAACAAACTACAAGATGTTCGTGCTGATGACAGGAGCAAGGTACATGCTGACTTTTCAGCAGGCAGTGCAGGAACTCCTAGATCATTCTCCCTCATAACATTTCACAGCTCCTTTAAAAGCATCTAGAGGCCACTAACATCTGCCATAAGAATAACCTTCAGGTTATACAGAATTTATAGTACAGAGGCATGCTCGCAGAGAAGACAGCACAAAAGATGAAGCATAAAATCATCTTTGTATAAAAAATACCCATAAGAAAGTTGTACCTTTTCCAATCACATACGTGTGACTCATTTCACACAGTGAAATCCAAAGAATCATAGAATCGCTTAGGTTGGAAAAGACTTTTAAGATCATCAAGTCCAACTGTTAACCTAGAACTGCCAAGCCAGCACTAAACCATGTCCCTAAGCACCACATCTATACATCTTTTAGATACCTCCAGGGATGGGGAGTCAATCACTTCCCTGGGCAGCCTGTTCCAATGCTTAACAACCCTTTCAGTGAAGAAAATTTTCCCAATATCCAACCTAAACCTGCCCTGGCACAATTTGAGGCCATTTCCTCTCATCCTATCGCTTGTTACTTGGGAGAAGAGACTGACCCCCACCTCACTACCCCCTCCTGTCAGGCAGCTGTAGAGAGCCATAAGGCTCCCCATAAGGGGAGCCTCAGACTCCTTTTCTCCAGGCTGAACAACCCCAGTTCCCTCAGCTGCTCCTCATAAGACTTGTGCTCCAGACCCTTCACCAGCTTTGTTGCTCTCCTTTGGAAACTCACAGAAAAAAAAAAACCAACCAAACAACATTTAAGTTATCTAGTTCTTCATCTGCTATTAAAATATTCACTGAATTCTTTAAGTTGCATGGAATTCTCTACTTCATTCTCTACTTCTACACAAAACTTTTCAGGTGATCCCATCGTTTACTGGTTGATGGTAAGCTATATTAAGCTACTTTTAGTACCTTCAGTTTCTGAAAGTAACTCCAGCACCTCAGTGTCTTTCTTGTAGCGAGGGGTCCTAAACCGAGCACAGTATTTGAGGTGTGGCCTCACCAGTGTGGAGTACAGGGGGACGATCACTTCCCTAGTCCTGCTGGCCACACTATTTCTGATACAGGTCAGGATGTCATTGGCCTTCTTGGCCACCTGGGCACACTGCTGGCTCATATTCAGCCGGTTGTTGATCAAAACCCCCAGGTCCTCTGCTGCCGGGCAGCTTCCCAGCCACTCTTCCCCAAGCCTTCACTCCTACCTCAGTTCCCTTTACCAATTAAATTAACAAGTTCAGCTTAGCAGAACAGAGAGCAAAGCTTTTCCTCACCAAAATTTCGGACAAGATTGTTTCCATCACAGTGTAACTTAAAACAGACCTGGCAGCAATTTTAAATATACAACAACCTCTGACAGGCTAGATTGCAGCCAGTAATCACAGAAATGCCCTCTAATGACTGCTGATGCTCAAAAGGGGACTCTCACAAGAGATCTAGATGTCTTGTGAGATGGTGATAGTTTCTTCAGGATTTCTGATCCAGCACAATTCAACTCATCTTCTGCACTACCTTCATCCTAGTACAGAGGGGCAACAGAAGAATTTCTCATCCGAAGTGCTATGTTTCATTAGTAGAGAGACACAGTACTTACAGAAATGCTCATAACTACAAAGTTTAATTCACATTTTAGTGGCATTCTCTCTCCATTTTCTGGGGGATGGGGGAAGCAGGTACACATCTGAGTCATCTCTTACCATCTTGCCATTGACTGTGGCCTCCAAGGAATCCACCAGCTCTGCAGTGACTCCAATGAGATTATGGTAGTCTGCCTGCATTTTGTTAAATCGTTTCAGGTAGGTCATGGTCCTGTGCTCAGATTCCACTAACTGTTGATGAAGATGTTGCAACATTTCTGTCAAAAGAATAATAAAAAAAAAACAAACCCAACATCACCTTTTCAACTGAAAGGACAAAAGAACCCACAAGCATTTTTACTGCTCTGAAGGGACAACTTTTATCCAAGGGGTTGAATTTCACTGCAAGGGTAATTCCACACTCCTAGTGTGATTTCATTTCATCGCAACAGCTACAAATATTTATTTTGCCTTAATTGTCCAAAGAAACAATTGTTTCGCAGTTACAGCAGCGATACAACTGAATATCACTGAATAAATTTCTGAAGAGGATACTGCTTTAAAGGTCTGTTAATACAAGAAGTTCCATGCTCTCAGAGACAAAATGAGGCTGTGGGCATTGAATCAGAAGAATATATGGCAAAATGCAACTCAGACTTGGTTAACTGAACTTGCTATCTGCAGGCGAGTTTCACACACTATCTTCTACTTCACTGAAGTAACAGTGGGTAAAAAACATCACACTGAGCAGCTGGAAAGGTCAAGCACCCACTTCAAAGATAAAACAACAAAACAGGAGAATGACAGCACCCAGAGATTCATGCCAGTGTTTGTTAGTTTACACAGTGAGCCTGGGTGTTTTCTCCAGTTAATGTATAGAAACAGACCACTGATACTTAGGTTATGTAGTGCTTTGCTTATTTTAAAGTAAATATCAAGTCTTCTATCTTTTAAGGAAAATGGTACAACTCACACACAACCAACCAACCAACATTCAAGTTATCCAGTTCCTCATCTGCTATTAAAATATTCACTGAATTCTCTGAAGTTGCATGGAATTCTCTACCACACAAAACTTTTCAGGTGATTCCATCATTTACTGGTTGATGGTAAGCTGTATTAGTTACTTTTAGTACCTTCAGTTTCTGAATATAACTCCAATTTTTCTTTTATTTCTGTCTAAATTTAAAAAAAAATTACATTCCTGATACATTTTGTTCCTTTGGGTTCAATTACCTAAAAGACAAAAGAAGCAAACTAAGCACCAAAATCTGCACCCCCCACCCCAGCCTCAGACCTAGCCAATTTAGCATTCTATGGGGAAGTCAGGCATGGAATCTGGAGCTGTGTACTGCAGTGCATATCTTCATGACTGGACAAAACTATGAAGGGAGGCACAATAATGTTGATGTTTACGTATTTTGCTAGAACATGATGTTTTAAATTAGTTTGATGAGAAGCCAGTATTGCTCAAGTGTTCTGAAAATGGCATCGTGCCCATCTGCAAACAGACTGAATATTTACCGTAGGGCTTTCTCTTAAACAATGGACACGAATCAACTTGAGTACAGGGTTTCAGACAGAAGTAGGATTTGTTTTCACAGATTTAAAAAATTTTGGGGTTAGAGTAGAGCATTCCGAACAGCTAATATGACACAGTTTAGGTCTGAACAGACACAGAGGGAAGAACTCACAGTGGGAAGTGAGCCGAACTTTCTCCTTAATTCAATCTACAAATAGTAAATCCTCAGCGTAAAATTACAGATTAAAAAACTCAAGAGGAAAAGTCATTCTGGGAACCCAGCTGGGCTCATATAAATCCCTACCAATTCAAGCAAACACAGAAAGACAAGTGAAAAAATGAATGCAAGGGAACTTGGAAACCCAAGTTCTTTTTATTGAACTGATTTTTAAAAGGCACATATCTCAAGTACCACCAGCATCTAATGGGATTCAGTGCTGAAATTTTTATTTTTTAAAGAACCCCAAGTCACTTACACACTTAAGTGCGTATGAACAGCTTACCTAAAAATGCAACAGAGTCATACTTAAATTAACACATTCTTATTCAGGAGATACCAATATGTAGTATTTTAGGAGTTTAAACAGGATGAGTGAATAGAAACAAAAATCAGCTTTGTGTGAGATCATCAGATGGTCATCAGAATAACTGAATGAGATTTGAAATCTGGAAGATGCAGATAGGCATAAGCAGGTGTGGGAAAGGAATCTGAGGAAACTTACTTTCATCATAACTAAAAATGGAAAGCTGATATGCACTTTGTACAGAGTTCTCCACTTGTTTTTACCACATTTCAGGACAGAATAGATTTAAAATACAAATCCTACTACTAGGCCTCCTCCCATTTTTAGCACATGTCTATGGTCAGCCCCACTGACCTCAAGCAGTCCAGCAGTAACTATCATCAAGACAGGGGTCTGGATTTCAAAGGACTTTTTGCCATGTTTCCCCATCATTGCAGGTGTACTTTCCACCACTATTATAGCCCCTATGATCTTACAGAATTACCACATCTCAGCATTTACCTTTGTTGCACTGTCCATTCTCCTTCTGTTGTGTGAGCAGGAGAAGTTCAGGAAAATGTGCATCCTTTCAGTACGTGTTTATTCCACAGACACAGAATAAGAAATTTAACAAACTGGCAACCCAACCAAGCCAAATATTCCTACTGACCCAGGCAACAGACAATGCCTGATTCTTCACAGGAGAGCAAGAATAAATCAATCAATAACACATAAAAATCTAGTAAGTGCACAATGTACAATGTTGCATGGAGACTTGAGTCTTTTTACTGACATTTAAAGATACTAGATCCAGCCCTGAAGTATAAGATATGGTAGCTCAGTCTAAATGTATTAACACCAAAATCAAAAGTCAAACTGCTGATTTTACATAAGATATATGCAAATATTTTAGGGAAAGTGATGTTTTATATGCAAGGGCTCAATTATGATCCAGTCCATTACTCCATAAAGAGGAATAAGCAGAGAGAAAATTTTCTTCCACTGTTCTATACCAGACTCCCACAGAAACATCCGTAATGTGGGAGTGATAGCACTGTTCTGATCACTGCTCCCCATCCTGGCAAATGGGCAGGAATGGAACAGAAGGAATATAATCTGCAGCTCATCATTCAATACCAGGGCAAGATGCTACTTTAGAATAATGTATGATATAGCAGTAAAAGGACTTTCAGCTTCTCTTGTGAAAAAAAAAAAACAAAAACCAAACCCCAAAAAACCCCACAAACCCAGAAACAAAGACTCCAGTTCTCTCTACCTTGGCCTTAACTGTACTGACAAAAAATGGAGAAGATAATTTGTCATATAGCTAGTTAGTTTGCAAATTAGGCCTGACAACACAACTTAAACAATATTGTTAGAATGTGTCTGAAGCACAAGCTATTTAGTAAAACATTAATTTCTAGAACCCTTAAAAGCCCTGGAAAACTTTCAGCTAGTCCCTGAAATGGCTAATTGAAAAGACCAACAGCTTTACAAACGCTAAGAAAGAAGTCAGGTCAGGTTGGTGCCTTGGCGTATCCTGTACATGGAAGCAAAGAATGGTCATATGATAAATATGCAGGTTCATATGCATCTATATATTGTCATTACATAACTTTTTCCAAAGGTTTTTTTGACTGTGGACTACAAACAATGTTTCCTATCATTAAAACACTGAACTGCAATGTTACTGCAATAAATCTTGGCAGCACACTCTTCCAATAAATTATACTGCCTCTTTATAGTAATTCTAATTATCTTCAAAGTGTTTTCTCAAAAGGATACAAATAAAGTGAGAAGCTGGGGAGTCTGTCTGGCTTTGAGATTCAGAGACAGGAACTTTTCCAATCTTGTCCTTAAATTCAATGTCCAGGAATCCTTGAAAAGAAAAACAAATTATGACAGTTGTTCACCAATATATACACTCTACCGAAAGTACCGTTTGGATCACAGCAACCTTTCACTAGTAAACAAGGCAGCCAGCATTGTATTGAAAAGACTTCCCCTTCCCTAGCTTTATTTCAAGTGTAGAACTATCATACAACATTGGTGCCTTGCATGCACGTGCAACAACCACCCCTAACTTAAAAGTAACTTTAAAATACAAGCAACTTGAGAAAAAGATAAAAAGATTAATATGAATTTAAAATTTATTAAATAGAGTACAAAATTAATAATCTTCCATTGCTCAGTTTTCAAAAAGCAATCACTGTAGTCATCTTTCACAAGATCTGGGAATTGTAAATTTCGTCAATAACTATTGCAAGCATCTTGACATGACATCAGTGATCAGGGTACAACATTTCTAAAATAAGGGTACGGAGAAAAACAACTCATGTATGAAAAACAGACCAACATATCAACCAGTAACTGGAATGCTGTCTTCTGCCTGGCATAGCGTCTCATGGAGAAAAACAACTCATGTATAAAAAACAGACCAACATATCAACCAGTAACTGCTTGTTGGAATGCTGTCTTCTGCCTGGCATAGCGTCTCATAAGCACAAGAAAATAACAGTTAAGGAAAAAAGCCAAACTACACCTAAGAATTCACTGAATACTCGCTTCTTCTATTTCAAATCTTCAGTTAAGCTAGTTTCTGCTTGGCGAAGAGCTAGCCAACAGATGAAAAAGCAGTGTCTTCCAACAAGTAGCAGGAGCTTCCTAAATTTACTGCTGTATATGTATATGTTGCAAGCTGTTCTCGCAGCTCAGATTTGCCCTTATTTTACCATGCTGGAGAGCATACAGAATTTACTCGCTGCATTTACCAATTCAGTATCCAGACAGTAGTGCACCACAGTATGCTGTATATTACCAAAGGAACCGTGTCTCCTGCAGACAGGAGTGTATATTATTTTTCAAGATGTATTACACAAACAGACAGGAACTCCAGCTATATAAAGCATGAGACGCCTGAGAAAAAAAAATGCCGTAAGAACACTGCTTAGTAGACTAGTGACTCACTGCTGTTCTTTCTCAAACGTAAACCAATCTGTGTTTCAACACTAGCTTGGAATGAGCTGTACAATTCCCACAAGAAAATATGACTGACTGTGGACTAAAAGCTTGAACACTGGGTTACTATGAATAAACCTGAGGATTTCATCTCAGATAAGGCATTCAAAAAAAAGAAAAAAGCTACTAAGTGTAATTAAAAAAAAGAGTAGTCATATCCCATCTCTGAGGCCAACCAGTACATCTCATTATTTATAGCTAGCCCCAAAGGAAAACAGCAGCATATGCCTTTTTTTGGTGTTAAACTGGAGCTCCTCATCAGCTGGCACATTCAAAGCCAACCCTAGGGCAAGTATCGCTTAAGCTTTGATTTGATATCAAAATGGGTGCGACAGCAATGCAGGCTGAAGATTTCTCCTCCCACCACAATAACTGCTCGCAGTTCCTTAGATAAGCCAGCACAACTGTCCATGTGGTAGGACAGTGAAGCATTTCAAGCATATAACCCTGCAAAATATTATACACATTTTACAAACAAATTGGAGTACGCACATGTGTATGTTTGTACATGGGTGCTGTATACACACACCTTCACAGGCAATAAAGCAGATCAGTTGCTTGATCCTGTCCAAGTGCAACCACATTAACCAGCCATTTCCAGCATAACCAAGAAGTTAAGGCACAGTTTTGCACTGCAGGAACAAGCTGTCAAGCAGGTGGAATGGTGGCTGTACCCTCCCCACAGGAATTGCCATCAGTACTTTGGAACATCAAACCACAGCTTTGGACATCATCTCCTAACCATCTACCTGCATGGTGCCCAGAAAGCAGTCAATGTAAGGGTGTTTTATTACCCCTTCATCAACAGAATAACTGTAGATCATCATCACATTGAAAGTGTACCTGCAAATGAAATCTATTTTGAAGTTCAAGCACACTAACTTTTACATTGTCTTCTGACCTTGCATGTGCAAGCCAAAGAACTGAACTCTGAAACAGCCAAAGGTAATTGCTAACACATATTTAACAAAAAAATTAGCCAGGAAAAATGCCTGTGGCAAAAGTCACCAAACCACTAAGCACAGCTATGCTCTTCCAGCATTTTTTTGGGGGGGTGGGAAAGAATCTCAGAACACAGACAACAGCAACTCATTTTCTATTACAGGAGGATTACTTATAAACTTGACTTTCTCTTTTCCACATTAAATTAACTGCTTTAGTCTCCTTATGCCTAGCTATCATGTTTTAAATCCAGCTACATATACACAGGTAGTGGGGTTGGGCAACAACCTCAAAGCAAGCAAGTGGGCTTAAACTACTATATAGCGATTCCCAGCAGTGTGCGTACTTCAGGGCTGTGCGGAAAGGAAGAAGAGGTAGCAATTCTTATTTACGGACACAAAGCTGGCATACCACTTAGGACGTAAGGAAATACAAAATATATTTAAGATGGTACTCTGTTATTGGTAGCACTCTCACAACCCTTCCTCCATCAAATATATGTTCTTTTATGATTGTACAGTTTCTGTCAAAGGGAACAATAAAAGCAATTACCAAACTAAACGTCATTCAATATCTATCACCCCATGAGAAAAACCATCATCAATACCATCTCTGCAAAACAGATGCTTACCTGGAAAAGTTCTTTAAATGAAGGATGTACCATGGGGTTTGGAACAAAAGGCAAAGCATAGAAGGGAAGAAACTCTGTAGTCTGGCTCAGTGCAGCTCCTTTTGTTTCCAGGTATGCCTTAAAATGAGAAATCCTTTCCTCAAGTTCAGCTTTGTCCTAGGAAATACAGCAGCATATTTGTTTAGAAAACTACCACTCCAAATGCACTGTAAAGCTGGCAAATATAAGCAGAGACCTAAATACATTGATATCAAGTTTGAAATCCCAGAATATTTGTTATCTAGAAAACAACACTTATTTAATTAGAGAGCATTATATCTTGTTTTTACCACTTAAAAAAGAAAATCTAAACCGATGTAATTTGTGTCGTCCAGGTCCAACAAAAGAAGAGAGGGACAATTGCTTTTTGAATGTAAATTATTCCTGCCCACTTCAGGCTAGATTTCTAAAGCAGAGTACCATTTCCACACTCAGGGCAGAGAGCAAACACCTACTTTCGACATGCTTTATTTCAGTGGTAAGTGCAGAACCATAAAATCTGCTCACACAGCACCAGGAAGGGGAGCTAGCACATGGAACAGATTGAGAGATCCTTAGAGGCTGGAAAACACACTGAAGGCATCCAAATGCCCCTGTCGCAGCTGACAGGTGTAAGGCAGGAGCTATTGAGCCCTGGCTGACCTGGCTGACTCTAGGCTACTTAAATGTCTCTTCAACATAGAAGTCCCATGTAACAGAGATTTTATTTTATGACAGCTTGGAATTATAATTTTCAATATGATACATTGAGCCGGTCAAGATTCAGCTTCCCCATTTTATCAGAAATGTTTATATTTCAACACATAGCTTCAGTCGAAACTGGAAGCAAAATAAGTGTTTTAAGAATCTCCTCTGGACTACAATTGGAGGTGTGAAAGTATCAGTACACTAGTATTTTCCATGTTAAAATACTTCAGGACCTCCAAGATAAGGACATCTTCAAATTCCGTTTCTGTACTTCACAATACAAAGGGTCTGGTTCAACTAAAACGCAAACTGTAGCCCAAAAAACTGGATACATCTTCTGGGAATTCTTACTAAACATCCCATCCTCATCAAATAAATGAAATAAATGACAAATAAACAAACTTACAGGCTTTCCCATAGAGTGTTTTAAGAGGTAGGTGGCAAAGTGGATGTGAAGATAGAACTCCAGCTTCTGAGCAACTGGTTCATTGTCCCGGACTGAAGACGAAATGTGCTCCTCCCAGAGCTGGAAAAAAACTTTCTGCTCACCATTTTCAAATGCTGTAAGCAGATCTTTCTGCAAAGGGGAAAAGCGTTCAGTGAAAAACCAAACACAGAAGAGGTACATTTTTTCAACACTAGGTTAGTGAATAAAGAATTCAAGTGCCATCTGAACACTTTGTAAAGTTTTATCCAAAATCTCTCACCATTCACTGACCAGCTAAATATTCTTTCACCACCTACCTTTAATGTCTTTGAGAGCCTGAATCAACCATTAATACAAGAAGCAAAGCCCAAATTTTCAAGCATGTCAATCTGGGGATCCACCTTTACCATAAGGGAAGAATATATGCCTATGGTGTGTGAAAATTGGACTTATCAAAGTATGGCAAGCTAAAAACCTAAAGCAATGTGACTCAAAACTACTGCCTCGCATTTAGAAGGACTGGAGCTCTGAAAAAAAACAAACCCAAACTTGAAGATTCCTGCACTGAAAGAAGACTGCTAGCACACTTCTTCAAATAATCAAGAATCTGTTCAGCCAGTTTGGATAATCTCACTGCTGTAATAATTCATATGGCAGTTAGTGGCCTTCAACTGTTTTTAGTATTACTCAAAGTAAATTTAAATGATGCATTACCTGAACAGGCAAAGTTTTTGAATCTCTTGAGGATACACCTGCTGGTTTAGGTAGTGGCTTCCCTTTTATTTTACATTCCTTTGTAAATACTTTCACTGTTTCTGCAAATTCAGCAAAATCCAAATACTACAAGACAAAAACATACAGGAACAATATTTTTTTAGATTATTAATGCTTCAATGAGTGACCCAGAAATTGCTAAAGTCCTTTAAAGTTTCTCTATAGCAGAGTCCATAAATGCCAAAGACTGCACAGCAACGAACCAAGAACTGGTACTTCATGTGGCAGGAAAATACTGTCTCTCAACTAAATTTCCTCCTGCATCCTGGAGAATAGTACTGACAACCTAGTACATACTCGCTGAGAAAATGATGCCCCTCGATTTAGCCAGTAATTTCATTCAACCAAAGAAGAAAAAGAACTAAGATCCATTAATGCTATACCTTGGTTGAAGAAACAAGTAAATAACTTCCTTGCAAATAATGTTCTCAGAGGGCAGAATTCTTAAGTGTTGCTCTCACAGCAGTAGTCAGACAGCTTGAATTCTAACCCAGGTCACTGATCTGAATCTGTGCAAGCCAAATTAATGAACAACTAATCAAGCACTATCCTTCTGAGAGAGATAAACCGCCCTGCCTCTTCTTCCCACAATGCACAGTCACTATGTTACACCCAGCCTCCCCTTCTCCTCCCCATCTCAGGTGTCTTTTTGGTTGCTGAGGCAAGACATCATATTTTGCTTTGCAGAGTTGATCTAGATCCCCAACATTGCCACAGAGAACAGGAATCATTTATTTTTCTTCACTGTTAGCATAAACAGTAGTACAGTAGCGATTAAGTACTTAAACCTCTTTTTAGATTTGTCTTCTAAGATCCACAAAGAGATTTAAGTCATGTATGATTTTGCCATTTGGGGTTCTTTAGACAGGAAGTAGCTGCCCAGTCTTTCAACAGAGAGTCTGGTGAAAACTGGGCATGGTGACAGCTGACTGCAGCTCCCAATCACCCCTCTGCAGCACTGGCATCTGTGGATCTGCAATAGGTTGGATCACGCAAGCACACAAGGCAGGGGGGTTAGGTTGTTGGTTTGGTGTTCACTTAGGGCCCTAAACTAGGCTACCAACACAACATTGATCAAAGGAATGAGGCAGTACAAGCAGCAAAGACGACAATTTGTGTTCTTGTTCTAAATCATAAATATCCCATTTTAGCCAATCTACCCAGAAGGCTGAAGCACAGACTACCAGAGAGGCACCCACCCTTGAAAGTTTGTCTCTCACTGTCTTTTTCACAGGAATGTTTCACACTTTAGAGCATCTTCTGACTACCTCTTACGAGCAGTATGGGTAGAGGAGCACCTAGCTGGAAAATCCTGCTTAGGCATTAAACTATGGAGATCAGTGGTCTCAGGACTTCTGCCCTGGGTTTGTCAGCCCTAGGGTTTTTATATACCTCTGTGATTTTATACATGCATGGAATAAGGTGGCCACTAAGCAATGTTTTAAAGATCTCACCATTATCACAGGTTGGACCTGAGCTGTCTGTGGATCTAATAAGCCTAACTGTTCCTTTAATGAAAGCATCATTTGCAATCAACAATAGAAAATTTCTAGCTGGATTTGATGTTTGACTGCTGGCATTTAATGGACATTGAGCCCTTTGATCCTACAGAGCATGACAGGAGTCAGTATGATTTCAAGGTGTAGCAAACACTTGGCTAGTTGAACAGCTCCAGAATTTCAGAGCACCATTACAATGCCTGGCTCTGAATACAAGCATTATCAAATTCTGCCTTGCTCATTTCAATCAAAAAAAAAAAAGAAAGTAAGAGAGAAAACCAACCTCTCTCACTAGTCCGAGTAACTCCGCTTCATAAGCCAGAACGTCGCCCATCGCTAATTATTACTGCTACATCTCGTCGTTGATAAACCTAGAAAATTGCAAAGGGGGTGTTCGCAGGCAGCCCAGCGGTTCACACAGCCCTGCTGCAGCCCAGCCACGCGCAGCCCATTAGCCCTCTCGTCTCCAAACAAACCGCATGAGGAAGATATCCCCGGCCCCGTCGAGCACCTCCAGAGAAGTTCCGGAGCCGGTCCTCGCCGACCCGAACCGCTGTTCTCGCCAGGCCGCGAGGC